AACTACCCCCATCCCCCCAAGAAAAAACAGTCCACCCCCTCCCCCTCTCTTCCTCTCTCAATAAAAAAATCCCACGATCTCTGAACACACCATATTAGCATTCATCTGAAACGAAGATTTTTTTTAACGCCATAGCTCATTAACCCCTCGATTAAGTGGCGTTGTCACTGCAAGCATACATCAACATCTTCGTGCCAAATACCTCATCAGAAGAAATAGATGTAGTTCCTCAGTTTCATTTTAGCAAGAGTTTTACAGTACTTTCAAATCAAATAGATCGTATTATACGTGTCGAAGATTTGAGGTTTAACTAGAAAGTAATGTATAACACGAAAAGTTGTTTTTTGTTTTAGTAGAGGTTTTACGGTGCTCGCAACGGCATAAGGTCATATGAGGGCAAGAACATTAGAGGTGTTACAAGAGAGTAACATAATATGTAAAAAAGAAGGAGGGGAGATAAGGAAGATGGGTGTTTGATAGGAAAGAAGAAGCCAACCACAAAAGAAAAGTGGAGGAGAGATATGGAAGAAAAGCGTTTGATACGAGAAAAGGAGCAAGCCACAATAGACCACCCACCAATTACTGTCCACTGACAATGGTGCAATATAAGTGAAAAAAATAATTATGCTCTCGTACTTCCTGTACGAAATTATGAGCAAGCGGTCATTGCCCCCAATCAAAAGAGAAAACTAGTTTAAAAAACAAACAAACAAAATAAAAACCAAAAGAAACAACAACAACAACAACAACAACAACAACAAGAGACTAATGAACAAACAACCAGAAGTGACGAGTGCGACTTTCGTCACCATGTGTTTGCTGAGCGATGGCATGTGTGAACAAATTTATATTTGTGTGTGTTTACAAGCGCATATCTATTGATTCTGTGCGCAAGTGAGCAGGGATAGGTGCGCAGGTTTTTCTGCTTATAGGCTTATAGGTTAGAACAACGTGTGAGCGTATGCTTGTGTATGTGTGGGCAGGAGGTGGGGGGGTGTATGTGTATGTGTGTGCGCGCGTGCGTGCGCGTGTGGAGGTGTGAAAAGAGAGACAGACAGAAAGACAGACAGACAGAGACGGAAAAAAGATGGAAAGACATACAGCCAAGCTGACAGACCAAAGCCCGCGAAGAAAGACACATACACATACTGTTCTGTAATGAATGACAGACAACAGCCATTGAAAAGAATGAGGCAGGCAGACAACAGATAGATAAACCAGCTGACAGACAAACAGAAAGATAAACAGACAGACTGGCAGACAGACCAGGAGACAGACCGACAGACAGTAAATTGAGCAAATATACATGATTAAAACAAAGGTAAACAGATACACAGTGAATAAGACACAGACAGACAGACAGACAGACAGACAGACAGACAGACAGACAGACAGACAGACAGTTGTGAGTACTCACCCTGTATATGCTGTATCTGATCCCCTAGCCTCACAGAGAAAGTCTCGCCCGGGTTGACGTGCACGTGCACCACGTGCTGGCCGCCCGTGGGGCTCGAACCCCCGCCCTCCCCGGGACTGTCCCCGCGAGAGTGCGTGCCCGAGCCGCCAGAGTGGCTGGCGTTGGAGCTCGGGTAGCTCCCGGGTGGCGAGGCGCAGTGCCCAGGCGAGGCCGGGACGCAGCCCGCGGGCAGACCGCTAGCGCTGGTGCCTAGGTAGTAGCCAGGGGTGCCACTGTGGTGATGGTGGTGCTGGTGCGGGCCCAGGACAGCGGCTTGTTGCTGCTGCTGCTGTTGCTGTTGTTGTTGCGCGGAGGAGGAAGTGGAGGAGGAGGAGGTCGGAGACGGATAGTGGCCGCTGTTGGCCGGTGGTGCTGGTGCGGGGGCAGCGTGCCCGCCTCCTATACCGGGGGGTGAGGATACGCGGTTCGGGGGTACAGCGGCGCAGAGGGGAGGGGGAGGAGGACTCGGGGGTCCAGAGAGCGGAGGAGGTGGGGAGGAGGAGGAGGTTGGCGGCAGCTCGGAGGTTGAGGATGAGGAGGGGGCGAGGCCGTTGGTTTTGGCGTGTTCTTGTTCTTGTAGTTGCTGATTGTGGGAATGATGATGCTGGTGGTGTTGGTGGTGGTGGTGCAGCGGTTGAAGAGGAGGAGGATGTTGTTGGTGTTGGTGTTGTTGTTGTTGTTGTTGCTGGTGGTTGAGGTAGCCTCCGTCAGCAACATCCTCGGCCTCGTCGGCTCCCCCGTCCTCAGCTGCAGGAAGCGCAGCGGCGGCGGTGGTGGGGGTGGTGGTGGCAGCTGTGTTGTGGAGGTGGGCGTGGGAGTGGGCGTGGTCGGTGGGCTCGACCTCCTCCATGATGCCACCATTCCTCAGGTCGGAGAAGCCAGCGGGACTGTCGTGGCCGTTCTCTTCTACTTCTGCCAGCGACGACGACACCGCGCTGGGGGACAACGCCACCCCATTGTTGTTGTTGTTGTTGCTGTTGTTGTTATTGGAATAAGAGACGTTGGTATTGTTGTTGCTGCTACTAGTGCAAGACACGTCGACGTCGTTGCTGTAGCTCAGGTCATTACCCTCCTGGTCCTCCGTCTCCTTGAGGAGAAGGTTGGAGGTGAAGGCGGCAGCACTGGTGTTGAGACCGCTGCCGCTGGTGGTCTGCGCACACTCCGTGCCGCCGTTGGTTGTTGCGCCGCTGTTACTGCTGCTGCTACTCCCGTTGCAGTTACTCTTAGACAAGGACGAAGAGGAGGAAGAGGAAGAGGAGGAGGAGGGGGTGATGGTGTTGCTGAGCTGCTGCTTGGAGTCTAGAACCTCGTCCATGGCGCTGGTCTGATCGGATGCCCTTGGTGAGCTGGATGACGATGACTGTTGATGGAGGAGTCTTCTGAAACACACACATACAATAACGTAATAGTCAAATGTAAAGTATTTTTTAAAATTTAGTACGAGTTTTATAGCACTTGCAACACAATAAGGTCATATAAGTGCCGAAGATTAGAGGTGTTACAAGAGAGTTACAAACATTAAAAGAGAAGAGAGATAAGGACGATAGATTTTTTTGATTTTTTTTTGGGAGGGGGGGGGTTAATACGAGTTTTATGGCCCTAGCAACACAATAAGGTCGTATAAGTGTCGAATATTAGAGGTGTTACAAGAGTGTAACAAACATTAAAAGGGAAGCGAGATTAGGACGATAGATCTTTTTTTATAACAAAGGAGCAAACCACACCAAAGCACACGCCAAACACCATCAAACATATAGTATTGTGTGCGTAAAGAAAAGCACATGGACACAATTACAGTCATTTAGTGCAGAGAAGAAGTAAAGCTTTTAAGTTTAGTTTTAGTAAGTTTTTACGGCGATTGCAACTGCATAAAAATAAAGTAGATAGACGGGAAATACATGTATTAACAAATTAAAGTAAGACCTGCCAATAGCGCCCTCACTCCACCTGCATCAAAGGAAACGGTGTTTTTTACTCCCCAAATCATTCAGAAGGCGGGTTTCGACAATATTCTGTTAGGAGCAACCCAGGCTGAGACGAATAAAAACCTACCCGCAACACCAGATAGACAGACCACGTTGAGGAAATGAACGAGAACAATTCAAACTTCCCAAAAAGACAGGGGTTCGCTTTGCAACCAAAGCCACGAAAACAGGTTTTGTTTTTGGCGGGTGTTTTTATTCCCAACAAGTTAGTAAGGTCAAAACTCTTCCAAAAGCAAAAACAAAAACAAAAAAAAAAACACAAACAGGTTTTTCTTCTATCTCGAATACCAACCACACGGTTTTCAACTCTTCAACACATTAAAACCCAATGTGTTTGTGTGTGG